TGTTGATGTCTGCGTATCTGCTGGTTTCGAAATGGGTTTCCCACCCTTCGAGGTGGCTGTCGAAGACAGCAGCCTTGGTGGCACTGGCGTCTTGCTGGGCAGCGTCGTCGCTGCGCATAGTGATGAAGCCGATCATCTCTAGCCCGGAGTCTTCCTGGCGCACGACCACGGCGGCATCACTGACAATTTCGTGATTCAATATAGCGTGTTCGACCTCCGCTAGCTCAACGCGGTAGCCCCGAATCTTAACTTGCTGGTCCAGGCGACCGAAGAACTCAATCTGACCATCGTAAGGTCGGTAGCGCACTCGATCTCCTGTACGGTACGCTCGTGTGAGCTGGCCGTCAATGCTGACGTCCACAAAGCAGTTGATGTCTAAGGATGGATCTGTGTACCCGCGAGCCAAACCGTCGCCGGTGACGATCAGTTCACCCATGATGCCAGACGAGACAAGCTGTTGCCGACTGTCCATGATATAAGCTCCGGAGTTGCTCATAGTCTGCCCAATTGGCACACCGTTGACAAATGGGTCGTTCTTGTCAACCTTGTACAGCGTACTAACGACTGCATTCTCCGTTGGACCATAAGAGTCATACACCCCGCCGTCAGCAAGGAGAGCTTGCGCTTGAAGGGCATCACGGCCGTCCACGCGATCAGCACCGACAAAGAGTACTTTCAAAGGACGAAGGCAGTCTGGACAGCTTGCTAAGCACTGCTTGAGTAGCAATGAAGAGAACATGGAAACGTTAATCTTCTCCTTGTGGAATACTGCGCTAAGCGCGACGCTGTCAAGGGTTGTCAGGTAGTCAATGCAGAATAACGATCCCCCGTTCAAGAGGGTGGAAAAGATTTCCCAGGCAGAAGTGTCAAATGCGATAGTTGTCAGATGCGAAACCCGAGATGCTGGTGGCATCATGTTGACCACGTTACTGTTTTTTACTAGCCGGACAATGCCGCGGTGCTCAACCATGACGCCTTTTGGTTTTCCTGTCGAGCCAGAGGTAAAGATAACGTAGGCGAGGCTCGTCGCAGAGACCGGTGGAAGGGTCGCTGTACCAGCGTGTCCCAGCGTTTCGTTGATACGGATCATCTCAACGTCTGGTATGGTGACATCTGGAGAAGCTATCTCAGGACCAAGAAGGACGATTTTGTGGCCTTCAACGGCGGACAAGATCGTTGCGAGGCGGGCGGCAGGGACGTTGATATCCAGCGGCAAGTATGCGAGGCCAGCCTTGAGGATACCGAGGATAGCGATGATGGTTTGACAAGACCGGGGCGCGTATACACCTATAAGAGTCTCTGGGGCGATATTCCTCAGGCACAACCAGATAGCAACTTCGTCGGACTTCCGATCGAGCTCAGCGTACGTCAGCTCGAGTGACGAAGAATCTTTCACTGCCAGTCTGTCTGGATAGCTAGCTACCTGATCACGGAATACATCGACTATGCTCGAATCCCGGGGATATTCTGTGTGCGGAGTGTCGAGTAAGCCCTGGCTGCGGAGATATGGGAGACCGTCGGTAAGCGGGAGAGTAGCGACTGGTGTCTGGGGATTCGCAAGACCACGGCGGAGGATCTCAAGGAAGACGTCGAGCATGTTGTTGACAGTGTCAGCACCAAATAAGTCGAGCGCATACAGGACGTTGCCACTTAGAGCTCCTTCCTCCTGGAACAAATGGAGCTCCATATCGAATCGGGTGGTCAATGCGAGCGGTACCAGCTCTCCTCGCAGGCCTTCTAGCTTCAATCGACCGAGGTTCTCCTGAGAGTGCACTGCAAAGGAAATTTGTACCAGCGGATTACGCGACGCATCTCGGGACCCAGGGAGGAGTGCTGACACTAGCTGCTCGAATGGTACATCTTGGTTCGCAAAAGCAGTAGTAGCCGTGTCACGGGCCTTCCGTACTAGGTCTTCGAAAGTGTCGTCGGTGACGGTTAATCGCATACACTGTGTATTGACGAAGAAGCCAATTAAGTGTTCTAGTTCTGGCCTGTTTCTGTTGGCAATGGGTGTACCAATAGTAGCGTCCTCGGCACCTGTAAGCCGGTAATGGGTAGCGCGGAAAGCTGCTAAAAGCAGGACAAAAGGTGTCACTTGCTGAGCGCAGCAATACGCCTGCAGACTCTCATATAAAGATCCTGTAATGGACACGGGGGCGACACCCGCATCTCCAGATAGAACGTCTGGCCTTAGCTTGTCGCATAGAAGCTCTGCAGGTGCGCTGTCTGCGAGCTGCTTTGTCCAGTACGCGAGCTGTCTCTGCTGTTCAGCGACCTGCTCTTCTTGCTTTTGCCATATTGAGAAATCGCGGTACTGGATCTGTAGAGGTTCAAGTTGTAACAGCGGGTCCTTGCCTTGAAGTGCTGCGCTGTAGAAGACGTCGAGCTCACGACGAAGCACGTCAACCGACCAGCCGTCAGACACAATGTGGTGCATAACGATGGACAAAATGTGATGGTTCTCGTTGATGCGCAGCAAGCATACTCTCCACCCAGGCTCCTTGGTGAGATCGAATGTCTTCGTTTGCTCTGCCTTGACTGCCTCCAGTACCTCATCTTCGTTGTAAGCAGAGACATCGATCACACGGGGACCCTCAGAGTCAGAGCGGCATGGCTGCACTGTCTGTACAGCGGTGTCGTCTCGATCTTCGAAGGTAGTCCTCAACGTCTCGTGTCGCTGTTCCAGGGCTCGGAGAGCAGCATCAAGCGCAGTCTGGTTCAGAGGTCCGCGCAGGCGTGTAGCAAGTGGAAC